ATATCATTGAGGTTAATTGCATTCAGGGCTAAGTCTGTTGGAGTTCTTGGTTTGAGTCCCTGAATGAATTTCGCACAAAACCTATGAGAAATTTCCAGCTGTTGCATATCTGTAGACGAGTAACTATTCCAAAGTTCACAACCATACAATGCACGAGGAATGACAACAGAGCAATAAATAGTTCTTGAGGTGATTGGGTTTAAAAGTTGAGGATTTATGCCATTATTATGAATGCTTAGCAAAGTGTCGCGAAGTTTGTTCCCTGCATCAAATATTGGTTTCTTTGTGTTGAGGGTTTTTTCAGTCTCTATGCCTAAATGTTTATAACTTTTTGTTTCTTTGATCACTTCATTTCCTAATTTGAACACACGATTATCTTTTGATTCTGTATCTCTTTCGTTATAAATAATTATTCCACACTTCATGACATTATAGTTATATCTCCATTGACGGGAATAATTGGAGCATATATCGAGCATTTTGTCCATACCACATTTCGACAATGACACTAGGACCATATCATCGGCTACAGTTGGGGTTGAAACATTTAGGTCATATACACAAAAGCCATATCCACACTTCTCTAATTCCTTTATCAACCCATCAATGAAGAGGAGGTAAAATAATGGCGAACTTTTCCCTCCTTGTCTAGTTCCTTGTAATACGGGAAAACTGTCTGATTTGATACCCTGATACTTAACATAGCTAGTCACTCGTTTATACATTTCGACAATGGAGATTATTGTTGTATTGTCTACTTCACTGCGCTTTTTTATTCATCTCGTGCGCACGAGATAATATGTCTTTGCCACGAGATAATTAAGTGGTGCGTACGAGTTACTATATCCTGGCTACGAGATAATTTAGTGGTGCGCACTATGTCGCGGCCATGAGTTACTAAGTCGTGGGAAAGAAATAATTAAGTGGTGCGCACGGGATACTAGAATAAACGTTACGTAACGTTACGTTATGTTACGATAGGTTACGTTATGATAATGCTATGTTGACATAGGTTTAATCTATTTGAATTGCGACATTCATTATTGAATGTCTCATATGATAATTATTAATTTCCCCGATAAGTGTTTGAAGAAGCCTATCACCGCAAATTATATGAAGATCTGCATTAATAATAAACATGTGATATAATAGGCCTAACAGTGCTCAGGAAATTAAAAGATTTGTTGATATGCAAAAAGCGGAAGTAAAAATCATTTTCAATATAGACCAAACAAGTTTTTTTTTGTTTTTCTTTAGTTTCTTGCAATTCGTGTTTAATTTAAACAATGTTTTTTTAATTAAATACAAATTGTTGTCATTTGATCATAGTTTCAGTTTTAAAAAGATGATAAATATCAGATTCTATGTACGACTGTTCTATGGCATTTTTAAATGACTAAATAGATTCTATGATCGAGGCCTTCTGGCTTCATTCATTTTTTATATCATTTTTTTTTAATTTTCTCAATAATTACAATAGAGAAAATATTGTCTTGATCTAAGAATCTGTTTGATTGAAAAAACTAGTACATTTAAACACGGATTTGTAATATAAATCCGCGATTTAAAATACTATTGGCCTATTTAAGATTATGAGACAGCCATTTATAAAATAGAGAATCTTGAATCTATACATTATTTTAACTTCTCTTAGAACTTGACTCCAGATATTTTGCTATTTATAAATTTATTTTATGAACCGGTATTTAAATTATGAACATGTATACAGTAGGCCTAAATTCTGAAAAAAAAACATTCTAAATCTTTATACAGTCAAAAGGCTTTTCCATTTCGCGTCAAAACATCGCACTTTAAACGCTTTATCTGTACAGCACGATAACCGCATTTAAAAATAGAAGTATCCATTTTATCTCTGTGTTTATTTTCATTTAAATTTAAAATAAAATGTTTATACATCGTAACGCGCCATCTCAAAGTAACACATTGTTATCTCCCATTGTCCTATATTGGAAAACGAGTGTGTAATTTCGGGGGAATATTATGCGGCATAAAAGCGTGTGTTGTTAACAGAAAACCCTATCGTATAACTGGAACGGATTATCTTCAGATATCATACATGTGAGTTTATTTTTTAACCTTATGGTGAATATGATTTGATACGAATGCTGAAATGATTTATTTACAAGAAGATATTAAAAATAGAAAACTATGTCCTGTTTTTAAATCAAATATAATGTTACGAGAGTTTCTGATAGTGATACAGTAGGCAGTGGTATTCGTAAATATATTAGTCAGTTTTCTGCACAAGGTGAATTTATATTTTTATGGCTACGGTCCGATGATCATAATTATATGATATGAATGACGAATTGACTGCACAACCTCGCTATTTTCATCCTTCCACATGTTGTGTATACATCGTCGGATACCCACAATATTGTGGATACATGTTCATCAACCGTCGCTACTGTATCCTATGGAAAGCCTTGACTGTCTTATGATTATAAAAATGAACGTTGTTGTGTCACTCTTTCTTTATACAATGTGCACTCATGAATATATTATGTAGATGCATCCTTATATGAATTCAACTGAACAATATATGATGTCAATGTGTCTTTATATGATGTCGACCAATCATTATACGATGTGCATTTATGAATATATGATGTGGTAGAATCATTATATACAGTCAACTCATCAATATATTATGTCAATCTTTCATTTATACGATGTGCATCTATTATTATACGATGTGCATTTATGAATATATTCATGTGGTTGCATCATTATATACAGTCAACTTATCAATATATATATGTCAAATCTATCATTATACGATGTGCATCTATTATTATACGACCGCTACTTTATATGAAGTGCAAACATCTTTATATGGTGTGCTTCTGTCATTATACTGATGGGGTTAATTTACCGGGTTATATTTCACTATGCACCGTTCGTGTCAACAAGTAAATTATATCATAAAGTGTTAAGCTGACTCTATGTAAAGACAATTCTACATACTATAGTGTTGTTTTGATTCTACATAAGAATGGTTGCACATAATATACTCGTAATTGCACATCATATAATGAAAGACTGACATCATATAAGGACGTGTGGACATCATATAATGTTAAGTTGACTCTATATAAAGAAGGTTTCACATAATATATTCATTAATGCACATCGTATAATGAAAGATTGGCATCATATAAGGACGTGTGGACATCATATAATGTTAAGTTGACTCTATATAAAGACGGTTTCACATAATATATTCATTAATGCACATCGTATAATAAAAGATTGGCATCATATAAGGACGTGTGGACATCATATAATGTTAAGTTGACTCTATATAAAGAAGGTTTCACATAATATATTCATTAATGCACATCGTATAATGAAAGATTGGCATCATATAAGGACGTGTGGACATCATATAATGTTAAGTTGACTCTATATAAGAATGGTTCCACATAATATATTCGTAATAGCACATCATATAATGAAAGACTGACATCATATCAGGACGTGTGGACATCATATAATGTTAAGTTGACTCTATATAAAGACGGTTCTACATAATATAATGTTGTTTTGACTCTATATAAGAATGGTTCCACATAATATATTCGTAAAAGCACATCATATAATGAAAGACTGACATCATATAAAGACACATTCACATCATATAATGTTAAGTTGACTCTATATAAAGACGGTTCTACATAATATAATGTTGTTTTGACTCCATATAAGAATGGTTCCACATAATATATTCGTAAAAGCACATCATATAAAGAAAGACTGACATCATATAAAGACACATTCACATCATATATTGTTAAGTTGACTCTATATAAAGATGGTTTCACATGATATATTCTTTAATGCACATCGTATAATGAAAGATTGACATTATATAAGGACGTGTTGACATCATATATTGTTAAGTTCACTCTATATAAGGATGGTTTCACATAATATACTGAAAAATGCACATCGTATAATGATAGATTGACGTCATATAAGGACGCGTTGACATCATATAATGTTGACTCTATATAAGAATTATTCCACATAATATATTCATAACTTCACATCATATAATGACAGACTGACATCATATAAGGACAGATTAACATCATATATTGTTATTTTGAATCTATATAAGGATGGCTCCACATAATATATTCAAAAATGCACAATGTTTAATGATAGATTGACATCATATAAAGACACGTTGACATCATATATTGTTCAGTTGACTACATATAAAGATGGATCCACATGATATATTAATGGGTGCACATTGTATAAGGAAAGGTTGACTCAATATATTGCTATATGGACATAACAACGTTTAGGTTTATAATGATAAGACAGTCAAGGCTTTCCATAGTATCCGACTGAGTTGTATAAAGGGCTCTAATAATAGTAGACGATATAGAGGATATTTGATAAATATCCAACTTAGATTCTACTATAAGTTCATGTTATATCAGTTATACTGTAATTCTGATGAATTACAGTACTGTAAAGTGCCTCATCTATGTCAAAGATGTAACCAAAAACCAAATTGGCTATATATTAACAACCAAAACATACGAAATAAAAAGTGAATCTCTGTTATATTAGACCTAATAAAAAAAAGAGCACCGCGTGCGGTATTAACGCTCGTTGCTGAGCACTAAGAAAGTAAGGATAACGTTAAATCGACATCAACAATTTTAGAATCAGATTAGCATAAAATAATTGTGTTATCTTGCCTATTATCATCATGTAATTATATATCACACAAATGTGGCTGACAGTAGAATTTAAGTATTGGCTATATATTTTCTTAAGGTTATTGATTGCCATTTCTAATTGAAGAACTTAATGGAAATATACTTCTAAACGTTATAATAATGTGCGGTCCAAAATACTCGATGGTTCACATTTAACCCTTCAACAAAATCTAACTAATTTTGTATACATTGATGAGAGCACTTGTAAAGTGTTTACTAGGTAGAATAGAGCAGGTTCATGAAAATCGCATGACATGGAACGCATAATATTTTCAACATACAGTAAAGTGACTTTGTTTATCCATGTGGAAACTTTTCCTATGTATTGATTATACCACACATGTAACGTCGGGCGAGATATGGGATAAATCGATGAAAACTACAGTTCGTAAAATTGTCCGACTCGCAAAAAACCGCCTCCGTGGTCGAGGGGTTAGAGTCGATGACTTCTAATCCAGCTACCTCTCTGGTGTGGGTTCGATCCCCGGGAGATGCTTTGGTAGTTTAGCGCGGAGGAAGGTAGTCTAGTACTGGTGTAACTCTCCAGGAACGATGGTTAGGAAACTACCCGCCTATATGACTGAAATACTGTTGAAAAAGGCGTAAAATGAAACAAACAAACAAACAAACAAGCAAATGGCTGCTCGTGTTAATTTGTCAAACTAAATGGGGAAAAAGTTAGATTTTTTTGCAATGTTCTTTGTCAGTGACTGTTTCGTTTCGTTAGTTAATAACTGAATCACAAATTCTGTAAGTGACAACTTAGACAATATAATACTACATATAGATTTACTGTATAGCCTGAGGAACGCGTGTACTCTTTTAAAAATATATATATGTATTGTTATGGTGAGAGACCTATCATCTGTTAAACCTGTCTAATTGACAAAATTAAGTGTTGCCACAATGTCAGTGTGTAAATACAAGTTTTTTTTTCTTTTGTAAAATAATGATTAATTAATTGATTGATTGATTGATGTATGTACACACTGACTTAGGTTACATATAATAAGAGAGACTGCATACATACATTATATATCTACAAACTAACACTAAAATATGACGTACCATCTTCAACATTGAAATTAAATATTACGGCAGAAGGTCGAAATATTTGAAAACAATGAGTATCAAATAAGAATCTGTCTGTAGCAAAATTAAATAAAGTGTACTAATTTAAGAATTTTAGAACTAACAGGGGTAAAAAAAGAAATATTAAATTTTATCCCAAATATTTAAAAAATCATTAAATTTAAGAAAATCAAACCCCCTTTTCTTGAATAGTTTGCTAGAAGACCCCCTTTTCTATTTATTATTATATTATTTTTAAAATGTTACAAAATTTTTTTGACTAAATTAGAGGAAAAATGAATAAAGTTAAATAAACATCTTTTTCAAATTAAATTCGAGGAAAAAGTTTTTGCTATGATTTTTAACTTGTACACATTTTTCGAAGGATCTTCACGTGTTCTTAAAAATATTTATAATATATAATGATGATGATAATAATAATAATAATAATAATAATAATTAATAATAATAATAATAATAGTAATAATAATGATGATGATGATGATGATTGATGGTGATGATGATGATTGTTTATGGGCTGGCACACCATTGACGTTCTGGTCAGCGTTCTATGACGTTTTTAACAAACGTTGGTTAGTCGCCAATGGTGCTGGGATAGCGCCAGAAGAACGTTGTGTTGAAACGCCAGTGAACAACAGTAATCGCCGGTAATCGGGCGTAGAATGTTGTCCCGGAAAAAAAAGTTTTGAACATGCACACAAGTTCCTCACTCAGAACCAGCGTTCTTCAACGTTTAAATCTCAAAACGCTGAAGAACTTTTAAAAAACTTTAGGGAAACTTTTTAAAATTTTAAATTTTCCCACCGACCTTGCACACTTTTTCTATCTTTTAGTCAGCTTTTCTCGGGTCCCCCCTTTGGTTTTAAACTAACCCCTTTTTATTTTGCATAAAAGGGACTAAACCTCCCAACCCTTTAAAACGACCATTTGAAGGGTCTTAAAGGGCGCAAAAAAACGTGTAAAAAAGGGAAAAACAAAATTTTCCTTTTTCCGTAAATTTAAAGGCGTAAATTTCAAACCCTTTTCCCAACTTGCATAGTAAAAAAGGGTTCAGTTTGTTTTTTTGGTTTTATCTTAAAAACCCAACTACTAGGGAAGATCTGAAAAAATCGCAGTAGGCCTTTAGATTTTTACCTTATCCGGGGCAAAAATTTAAAATTTCTTGAACTGGCCCATGGCCCATATTTTAAAGGGTCAAATGCAAAAAGCAAAAACACTCGTCGCACC